ATAATATTACATTACTCCCAACAATGTTACTTTTCCTAGCGAAAAATTTCCTAGAAGAAAAAATTTCTCACAGGATAAAATTTAGGAAAAATAAATCTCCTTTCCTGTGTACCACTAGTAGTAGAGGGAGCCATAGTCAGAGAATGGGGAGGAGAGCCTCATTTTAATGCGTCCAAGTCACAAAGGGGCCAACAGAAGCAAATGTGTGAAGCATTCAACCATTGTAAGGGTCTCACACCTCAAAGAGGTAGTAGAGGCCTTAAATCAGATCTTGCTCAGCTACAGAGATGTATATATGTGAAATATGTGTCGTAAAATAAGATTATACTGTTTGTAAACTATTCTTTATTGTAGAAGTTATACATTCCCACTGGAAAAAAAGGTAGAAGAATCTACAAAGAAGTATGTAAAAGAATACATAAATCACCCATAAACTCACAAACTATCCAGTCATACCCACTTTCAATATTTTGGTGTATATTATTCCATAATATTTTTATGCACGCATATATATAAATATCTACATATGTTATTTTTAAAAATTGAATCCTTGTCATGTTGCCGTTTGTAACCTTACTCATGTGTCAATATATTACAAAACACTTTCATCTCAATAAAGATATGATTGTCCTATATTTGTCAGATATTTTATTCTGCATGTCTTTACAGTTTTATCTCAATCATTTTTCTGAATATTAAGAATTGATATGTGCCTACTAAAGATAAAATTTAACTATATAAATGCAACACTTAGAAAATAAAAGTACCCATTATATTGAATACTCATTTCAAATATATCCTGTGGAAATATTTAAGTATATATTCATTCAAATTTCTAACATGATATAGAAATACAGTAAAATCTCACAGTAACAACACTGGATATAACATGATTGGCGATGGAGTTGGGGACAGGGGAAAATGGAAGGATGATAATTAAGTTCAAGTGCTGAATAAACAACTGTTATGAAGTGGTATCAAAACACAGCTGAGTTCCTGATGGCTTTGGGTTATGCAGTGAGTTAACCAAACATGCTCACATCAGTCATTCCATTCACATAATCCAAAATTTTACAGGAATAAATTGTAAGGACTTCACTTATCATGTTATGGTAGAATTTCATTCTTTTCATATTTTAAATACACAAAAATAAATATATGTATGCTGCAACAAAATGTACTATCACATGTATTAACTGTCAATTTGCCTTTTTTCTTAACAATATATGTTAGATTTTTTTCATATATATAAATCCACATCATTATTTTTTCATAACTGCATAGTTTTGCATTATATAAATGATCAAACTTTTCTTAAACCAATCTCCTTTTAGGAATATTTAGGGTTTTTCCTTTTTTAAAAACAAAATCTATTACCACAACTACTACAATGACCATATATGACATGGGATTATTTCTGTATAATAAATCACTAGAAGAGGAAATTGATGTGTCCAAGAACACACATATTATAAAGTTTGATATTGCCAAAATGACCTGTAAAAACATATATTTTTTTTGCATTTTGCTTGTATTTTCATTTATTTATTCTGTTGAGGCATGATTGACATATAACATTATATTAGTTTCAGGTGTACAACATAGTGATTCAATATATTACAAAATGATCACTGCAATAAGTCTAGTTAACATCCCTATACTATTGTATTTTCTCAAAATACATGTGAATGTTTGAGAGTCATCAAATAAATTAACCAACTTTGAGTGTAATCAATATTTTTCATCTTTTCTAATTGCATAGGTGAAAAATTAATTCTTAGTTCTGTTCTCAATAGATCTCATTTTAATGTTTTCTTAGAAATCTATGACATGGTTTTTACATAATTAATTTAACCTGTTCCCTATTGTAAGACATTTAAGTTTCTTCTTAATTGTTCCTATTGTAAAGAATTGTGTTGAATATCCTAATAGTCATTTTCCATTTGTAAATGGTACATACCATTGGTACATATCATTGGTGCAGTTTGAATTGTTTTAACAGAATTATATGTTTACCTTTTTTAATCTTGTAGCAAAATCATCTGGGAGAATTCTCAGTTTATGAGAATGTGTACACACATGTGAAAATGTGCATATACATGTGTATGTGCTTGGGTGCATAGCTGCCATTTCCCAGAACAATTCCCTCCTTCTGCTCTTTCATCGCTGCTTTTCACTTCTGGCTTCTCTTTGTATATTCAGGTCCAGGTCAAAGGACTGATAGTAAGAATTCAGGTCTACAAACTTTTTTAAGTACTTAGCAAATTCCTATGTACTATCCAGAAAGGCAGACCGATTCAGATTCCATGACCTGGAAATAAGTGTGAAAGTCCTTCAGGGTAGTGTAGTACATGTCCAAAAGTGCTTGCATTGAACCTGCTTTCAGACGACAACCATTGTCAATAGACTTAAACATCCTTAAGGAGGAGCAAATGGACTTCTACCCAGCAAGACAACAGGAGACAAGCCAGGGTAATGCTAAAGACACAGGGCCTAGGTTCAACCAGACTGGTCTCCTCTTTCCTTCCCACCTTCCATCTATGTCTCGCCTACACTCCGAAGCCCAGATCAAGGTCTTTTTCCTCCTTGAGGCTGTCTCTAATTACCTAACTGCCTATTGCCTTCTCTGAGCTCTTGTTGGCCTGGCAGTCTACTCTTCTTCCCTTTAGCTCTTTCTTCAAATGGCTTCATGTGAAGGGGTTCTGCCTTTGTAGTCTGTCATCTACTCTACCCCTAGGGTGAACCCACAGGGGATGTAGCCCACTCCCAGGAGGACAGACCTGGAGAAGAGGCACAAGCAGGCCTTGTATTTGAGCTCTAGGTCCTTAGTTCAGAATATTCTAGGGTCCTAGATATCAAGAGTGTGGTCTCGAAGGAGAAAGGTAAAGGCTCCAAGTAAGGCCAACTTCTTGCTCCACTGACTCTTCACTACTGGGCAAGAGAGCCTCGAGAGAAGGACCAGACACTGACCCTCTAAAAGTGGGGCCTCAGGCAGAGGCCTCTTCTGCTCAGATCTAAGGAGATAATGTCTTTGGGCACATTGCTTAAACTCCATTTAGTTTCTTCATATATAAAATGGAAATGAAAATATCTTCCTTGCAATTGTCGTTAAGAGTATAAAATGAGACAATGGCAGTGAAGCACTTTTCCCTTTTTAGGACATTATAAAGATTTCTGGAACCATTTCCATCAAGTTGGAGAAAAACGGCTGCCATTCAGGATGTTTCAATCTTCCTAAGGACTACATATTCAAATGTTTTGCTAATCACATGCTTCTTTCTAAAGTTCTGAGAGCTTGGTGGTGTTCTCCTGCTTTAGAGATAAGACCAATACAGGGAGAATAACTCACTAAGGGTCACACAGGCAGTTTGTAACAGAGTGAAATATTCTGCCTCTTTGACTTTATCTTGTTCAGGCCTGCTTTCTTCCCATGGCCTTCAGGTTGATAGCTAATCATTTGAAGAATTCCACTTGAGGCTTCAGGTTTACAAAAACAGGGCCTGGCCAGAGGGTGACTCTCCCCAAGAGATAAGAGAAATATGTATTGTTTATCAAAGATTTGCAGGCACCTCTTGACCTGGACTCACATCAGCTAGAGTCAACAGACTAAGCACAATCTCCCTTGAAGCCCTGCTGGTGCCTAAATGTCTGCCGTAGTCAATTACCCCTCGCCCTTCATATTTTCCCTTTCTTTGACATAAAAGAAGCCTGAACTCTGTAATTTAAGGTGGATTTGAGGATTAGGTCTCCCATCTTCTCATTTGGTGCCTTCTCAATCAATAAACCTTTCCTTATGTCAAACTGACATTTTGAGTTTTGGAAGCGTCAGGCACACAGACTTTGGACAGGTAAATTGTTCTAAGGCTGGCACTGGGACTAACATTCTCCTGTCTTTTACACCAGTGTTCTGTCCAGAAGACCAAACCCATTATATCTTGGGTTTTCTGGTGCTCAAATAAATACACATGCTTCCCTGAAGACAGAATAATACACTAGAAGAGCAAGTAAAATAAAATGACATGCAGTAAGGTTTTTTTTTCTCTCCACATAATCCATTGAAGTTTTTATTCTGACTCACAAAGGGGCACTGAAACTTATATGAAACAAAAATGCATGTTTATGTCCCCTGTTATTTTTCAAATATTACCTCTGAAACCTATGCAATTTTTATTGACAAATTTGTGACCATTACCAAAGACTGAGGCGAGGCTGAAAGATAACCAATATCCGTTGAAGACTTTATATGAGTGAAGTGCTTTGCGCCAAGTGTTATCATTTAGAATTCTCAACAGTCAGTTATATGAGGTGTATATTATTATTCTCTCCTTACAAAAGAGGAAACAATTGATGATTCTGCAGGCAACACAGCTTCTTAGCAAATACTACCACCAGGGCTCTGGAGTCAAACATTAGTCTTCTTTTTTCCATTTTGAATCCTTTTCCCCAAATGAAATCTTATTATAATAATAGCTCGTACTTTTAAAGCGCCATATACCAGGCACTATTCTCAGGACCGTACATGCATTAACTCATTTAACTGAAGTAATTGTCTTTGACTTTTCCGACTATAAAAAAAATACCTAAAATAAAGAATATAAAAGTATTAAGAATAAAGTAAAAACTACATTGAAAGGTCTCATTCCTGCCCCAAGCTTTTTTATCAAACGACCCACCGCTAAGTCAACCCTGCTCCACAACTGCCAAAGACCAGATTGCACATGAAATGGAGGCTGGGGGAGGGGCGATGGCTACAGGAGTTAATGCTGGGAGCGGAAGGCAGGAAGAGACAATTCTGGAAAGAATTAGAGAAGTTTAGTAGCTCCAGAAAAAGATGCAGCCCAAACCTAGTAATCAGAGAAAGGCAAATAAAAAATTTCCCTCTGAGATATGCGACAACAACAAAAAAAACTGACAGGGCCAAAAGTATAAAGGGGGAGGAGGCAGAAGGCGGGCTTACTTCTGCCGCGCTTTTGGTGGGCGTGGAAATTAGGGCCCCAAGCTCACTGGTGACGTAGATCTCACATGACCAGGAGTCGACGTGTGCAGAAGTCTTGCGAGTCTGGTCCTTGTTCTCATCTGGGTACCAGCTCCCTTCTGCGTCGCGACGCAGGGGCCTGAGGCCAGGAGAAAACCAATTTGCCGGAATTTTGCAGGTTGGTGTCAAAATAAGTGCTGCTTGAGGATTTCTAGGGTGGGGGTGGCCCAGAGCAGAGACTCGAGAGAGTCCTGGTCAAGTCCATCTCTCCACCTCCCACCCAGTTCCCGGTCTGTAGGGAATGAACCTTGGAAAAGAGACTAGGGGTCTTGGGAGAAATACAGGGAGACCTGTGGTAGTTTAAAAATAATCATTCTCTGCCATCTCAGACCGCTTTCCCGACACCTACCCTCCCCCCAACCCCCGCCCCAGTCTTAAAGATAGTTTGGAAATAATGTGCTTTGCCTACTCCCTGTCTGATGGGAAATTCGAGCCAACTTGCACTGCAAAGAGGGGGAGAACTGGGAGAAACAGAAGGTGAGAAACTTTCCGTAACTGAGAACCTTAATGGGGAAAAAGGTCCGTGGTGCTGGTCACCAAGCGCTTGCTACACCTCCCCTCCTCCACTCCCTTCTCCCTGGCCCTCCCCCTCCCATTTCCCGTTTGTGCTCGGATCCGCAGGTCTTGTTCATATCACTACGCAAGACTAGAAGAGACGGAGAAACTGACTGGATCAAGACAGGTAGGTGAGGGGTATATTATAAAGACGCTTCGGGTGGAGGCGGGCGAGGTCGTGACAGAGGTCTGGGCCCCACTGTATCTCCTCATCCCAGCCCCGATTCTGCTAGCCTATTCTGTTCTGGGAGGGCTTTGTGATACGTCTGTGCGGGTTGGGCG